TTTTTTTTTTTTTTTTTTTTTTTTTTTTGAGACAAGGTCTCCCTATGCAGCTCTGGGCTGGCTTTGTGTTCACTTTTGTAGTTCCAGTCTGGTCTCAAATTTACATCAATCCGATCCTCCTTTCTTAACTTATCACTTCTGTTTTTACAGGCCTGCACCACTGTAGGTCCAGGTGCTGTGTGATTCTTTAAAGTACTTTAATTTACTTACTACAACAAAAAGTGGGGATTTGTTTTGCTTTGTTTTGAACCCAAGGTCTATGGAGCCCAGGTTGGCCTCCAAATGAAGTAATCTTCCTGCCTCTGCCTCTAAGAGAGTGCTGGAATTACAAGCATGCACCAACCACACCTGGTTTAAACATAGATTTTAGGTATAAATATATTCTGTTCATATAATCATCAACCAGATTAAAATAAAGAAACATAAAGAATACTGTATCACCTCCATAAATTTACTCATATTCCTTTGCCCTGCCCCTAGCAGAGGCAATAATTATCTGGGTTCCCACTATCACATAACAGTTTTGTCTGTTCTTCAACTTCACGTAAATACACTAATACTGTATGTCTGGCTCCTTTCACTTGTCCCACTTTGAGATTCTGCCATGCTTGGCATTTAGCAACAATCTCTTATTTATGAGTTGCATTCCACTGGATACACCCCTCAGTCTGTGTATCTGGCCTGCTGCAGCTGAACCGGGCCTCTAGCTCTGAGTCACATGTACACATGCATCTGGGTTGTGTGACACAGGGCTGCTATGACTGGCACTGCTCTGAGCATTCTCCTGCAAAGGTCCTTGAGATTGGATGCACTTGTTCATTTCATTTGGGTAGGTGTTCAGAATTTAAATGCATATACATTAATGTCTAATAAGTTAACAGTCACTTTGTGAATTTTTTTTTCTTTCCTTGGAGGGGGAGTTTCTCACTGAGCAACATCCCTGGCTTTGTGTATATTTTGGGTAGCTGTAAACAACTAAAGTGCCCAGGCTGGGCTAGAACTTGCAGTCCCCCTGCCCCGGGCTTCTGTTGTGCTGGGATTTTGATCACTACCATGTCCAGCTCTTCCATCTACTCTTCACCGACTAGGTTGGAAGTTACTTTCTTGCAACACAATGGCAATACTATTCCACTGCCTTTGACTTCTACTTTTATTGTGGAAAACACAAAAAGTCATCAAACTAGTTGTTGTTCCTTTGAAGATAACTAATAGCTTTTTTCTTTTTTAAAGCTAATCTGGCCAGGTGTGGTGGCACATTGCTGGAATCCCAGCACTTGGGAGATTGAGGCAGGAAGCCTGCCAGAGTTCTAGGTCAGCCTGGGCTACATGG